GATGGATGGATGGATGGATGGATGGATGGATGGATGGATGGATGGATGGATGGATTGATGGATGAATGGACAAATTAATTTATTTCAGACGATTCTGTAAACAGTAATTACATAAAGAAAAGTCCCAAACTACAGATATATATTCATCAGTATAAGCTCAATACTTATATAAATTTGACCATAAATAGAAACTAATACTATAAACAAAATAGGGATTTGTTTAAACTTTATTCATACCCCTTTTCCCTCTTATTGCCCAGATCATAAATAGTAAACTTTCCGTCTTCTGTTTTATTTATTTGCTTCAGCTCCAAAATTCACAAATAATAAATCTACATATGGATGGATAAATATTTAAGCAAATACATAAGGTTACACAAATATTTACATACATGTTCAGATGCACACAAGTACTGTATGTAAATATAGAGACAAACTGTACATCCTAACACTTACCAGATAAGTAGATATTAACATCAACATCAACCCCAGGGCAGGTCCTCATGAGACAATCATACCTAAATATACCTTTATACCCTAGGGTTTTAGGGCAGTACAAAGGAGTTGAATAGTATACACTGTATAGTATATGATACTATAGTTGTTTTTGTGTGATACATAAAGACATAAATTAGTCACATCTAATCCCCATGGTCTGGTGTTAATGATTTAAAAAAAAATCTAGATCAGATATGAAGGTAACATGGCAAGTTTTAATCCTTCATGTACTGATATGTAACAGATGTTCTATACATGTACTAGCTTTATTGGTAGGAATATGTTCTAAGAATTGGGCAAACGTCATTTTCATGTCAGCTATATTGCTTGATATGTTTTATTTAAATGTGCAAAATAAACACTATCCCCTTACCTATTCATCTACCCAGAAACATCTGTCCACACTCGATGGCTGTGGCTGACATGTGGGCAATTTAAGACAAGGAAAGTGCATGGAATATACAGCCCGTCCGGTGGTCTAGTATTGAGTTGCAGCGCTTCCTGACAGACTAACAAATGTGCGCATATGTTGAGATAGTAATGCCCTTGTGTCCACATGGTAACTGTAAAATGATAGCACTGACATACTGTATCTCTGATAGACTCAACATCTGTGTCTCTGGTGATTCACAAAACCTTTTTAAGATTGACAAATTAACACAGCATATGGCCTCCCTCAGGCCCACAGAATAAAGGCTGGCAAGCTATCTGTAGTTAAGTGGAGGTTTTGGCTTTTAGCTTTTGAGCTAGCTAGAATTAAGATGGAAGTTGTGCATCTTCTCTTCCCTCAATGGCAAAATTAGATGCAGAGGAAAGATGAAAACCAGAGTCAGGACATTGTCTTTGTTTTTAAACTGAACATTTTTCTAATAAAATGTATTCTTTTAATTGCCATTGTAGTTATTTATACAGACAATAACTATCTTAATATGGCTGATGTATTACTAAGAAAGACTAAGTCATCACTCTATAGATCAAATTGGTGCAATAATCAGATCCATGGCAACGGGCAAAGATCAAACCTGTATCTGTTGCATGGTAATTGGATGGTCATGAAATAGGAAGAGAGAAGATATGAAAACTGGAAAATATCTGTGACACTAAATCTAAAATTGCCCAAATGAATTAAGTAAAATGTGTTTTCTATACATATAATTATTAATAATACATTTTGCACTGGCAACTTGTCTAGGGCGCCCCCCCTCTCACCCAATGACAGCTGGGATGGGCCCAAAACCCCCGACCCCACAACCCCTCTAGTAAACAGTGGTATGGACTGACAGATTTGCATTTTGCTTCCTAGACGTTACAGTCAACACACACATTAGTCTCATCGCTCTGAGAAGTGCCAAGCTTCTGTGTGACATTAATTCAGTGAGCAAGAGTCACAAAAAAGTAATCTTTTGGGCTTTTCTTTTTTCTTTTTTTTTCTTTTAGAATGGACTGCTGTTTGCCAAACACTCTGCTTCGAAATTCTTTGTTTCTGTTTGTTGGTGCATACCAGCATGTGGTCTGGCTCCCATTTCATGGGGGCTTTCTTTGGTGTTTGCTGCCTGCAGCTGAGTCAAAAGCCATAACATTGCCTGCAGGCATAGAGCGTAACCCAGCATGGCTTGTCTAATGAGCCACCTGAGCTATTCTTGTCAGTAAATCAATTGTGGCTGCGAAATGGGATAAAAGAATATCTTAATTTATTGTCCACATCTTCACGTGTTTTGTCCAAACTAATAGCTACGCCTCAGTATGAGTTTGTAATATCCCCTAGATCAGTAGACCATCTAGTAGCATTTGCTTTAGATCTGTGATAAACACACTACTTACAGTTTTTTCCTGCTGAGGAGATTCAGCAGAATGATCTATTTCAGTTTGCTGCAAAATAATAAAGAAGAAACAACATCTCTGCCAACTTAGCCTCATCATTTGCAAGAGGACAGATTCCATGGTGTAAAGCCTTTGGAACTCATCCTAATTCGGTAGAGTTTGTAGCTAGTTTTATTGATAGAAAATAAACGATGCAGTGCTCATTCCCTATTGATAGATGATAGAGCTTGCTGAATAGTAGAGAGAGCGAAAAGTGTACTGTACTGTCAGAGAGTTTATAATGGAGATTCAGTGAGCCTTTCTCAGATAGCATTACAGCTGTGTCAAAGCATTCTTTCTTTGATTCATCAAAAAATATCTATGAAAACTGGTGTATTTGCAAATGCTCCAGCTTGTAATGTTCAGGCTTCCCGCGGGCTCTGTGCTTTTTGATGTATGGTGTGTGGGAATTGCTGAATGCTGAAGGAAAAGGGGGAATGAAATTAAAACAGAAAGAGGGGCAGGGACACAAAAAAAAACAACAACCTAATTTCATCACTGATCTCAGGCAAGGGAGAGAAAAAATGTGTGACGCTGTGAACTAACTCCTTGATTTGAAGTACAGAATGATTAAATCATAAAGAGTTTTTGAGGAAAAATGTGTGTGGTCTTTATTGTATATTGTTTTGAAACTGATCCACGCAATCTAAAAGCAAAATTTCTCCGTCTTAGGTGTATTTGGAGAGGCTGCTGACCTATGCTGAGATTGACATTTGCCCCGCCAACTGGAAGCGCATCGTGCTGGGAGCAATCCTTTTGGCCTCTAAGGTCTGGGACGACCAGGCGGTCTGGAATGTTGACTACTGCCAAATTCTCAAGGATATCACTGTGGAGGACATGTGAGTCAATCAAAGCACATCCCAAAAGGGTTAATGCAGTATGGACATATTGAAAAGTGCTTTCAAAGTGAAAAATTATCATGAGTGCAAGATGTTGAAGCCAGTTATGCGGCATTTATGTGACAGCGCCATTTTTCCATGACAATTTCTATCATGTAATTCCCTGAAAACCATCAAACGCAACTTTGCCTCAGTAAATGGATTTTTCTGTCGAGCTTGCTTCTTAGTTTGTATATTTAAGACAAAAATTTAGCGTGTTTTTAAATGTGGGGACAGTCTGTGTTAAAGAAGTATTCGGATTTACAAGTATGCCTGAATATACTTTGGCTGACCCTGGGCTATATCACAGGCACTTTTTAGTCCCTAACAACTCAATCTGAGAAGGGATGTGCTGTTCGAGGCCTTTTCCTTTTAAGCAAGTAAGAATGTCGGAACTAATGATTGGATTTTAGGCTCTGGGTTTAATCATAGATTAAACATGAAATATTTAGATTAGCCGTTTGAAATACGTGATGAGACTGGTGATGCACCTCCCGTTCGTTTATGCTACACTGCTTTCAAATCCTATGGATTTCTAGGAGGATTATTCTTAAGAAGGAGGTGATGCTTTAGAAGTGTTCTCCCCACCGCCACCCTTGACCTCGTATGCTTTCGCACACTGTTGCAGTGGTGGGAGTCTATTCTTGTCTCGTGCCCAGATTAGAGTAGTGATCGTAATCCACCTGTTCGGGTCTCTATGCAGTCAGTGGAAAGCAGCACTTTACCGGACACTGACTCAGACGACCCACTTGACTCTTCAAATCTTTAACGTGAAATCAAGCCTGCTGAATACCTCTTTCCACATACTAAACATCAAATAATTGCAAAGAGGTTGGGAAGATTTTGAGGAGGAATAAGGCAGCAAAAAGATCAACAGATGTGACCATCTAAATGAATTGTTAAGTTGCAAAGAAGCAGCATTATTATTCAGAGTTTAGCCGTAGTAAATTTAAATTAGGCTGGTCTGTTGTCGCATGCCTCTAAACTTGAAGGGGTGAGAAACAAAGGATAGGAGGCAGGGATGCGTAGAAGCTTCAATGTGAAATGAATCTGTCACGACTGAAGAGAAACAGATGAAAGCTGCTGTCATCACACTGCAGAAGGGATCACAGAGCTGCCGAGCATGAGGCATTGTATGACAATAGCAGGCTGTAGGATTAATGCTCTTTTCTGAGATAGCATTTCCTTTTAGGCTTGCGTCTGTTGATCTACTGGGGATTTACTCGGACCAAATGTATTTTGGGGAGTCCAATTATCTCTTCTCTCACTGTATATGCGATAGATTTATGAACTAAGGGCAATTCCATCGTCTATCCAGATCTCATCATGGTCTGGATCATAGATAATTCTAATTATTCAATTTTTCTCATTTTCTGCTATAGGAATGAGCTGGAGCGTCAGTTTCTGGAACTGTTACAATTCAACATCAACGTGCCATCCAGTGTATACGCCAAGTATTACTTCGACCTGCGCTCTATGGCAGAGGCCAACAATCTCAGCTTCCCCTTGGAGCCTCTCAGCAGGGACAAAGCTCAGAAACTAGAGGTGGGTGGGGACACTCACACATGCTTAAGACAGATTCCATTTTTTAAACGGATATTTAATTTATTTGGAAGATATTTAATTGTACTGATGCACACTCAGCATAGAATGTGATGCTGGTCCTTTTACTGTGTAATTAGCTTAACTACTGCCTGTTTGCCTGATCTGTCTGTTCCCTATTGTGTTGCATATTTTCCCTGTTGTTAATATCTGAAATGTCAGTCATTTTTTGTGTTATTTGTGTTATTTGAATTATTATTTATTATTAGATATCACAAAAAAAACAACAAAGTCTCACATTGGATTTTAAAATCTATATAACTATGCTTCCTCTCGTGTTTTCAGCCTCATCTAAGCTTTGTTTTGACTTGCAGGCCATTTCACGGTTGTGTGAGGATAGCTACAAGGACTTGAAGAAACTAGCCAAGAAGCGGTCAGTGAGTGCGGACAATCTGGCGGTGGTGAGGTGGTGTCCAGCCATCATTTCCTAACACTGGTCATCTGCATAGACTTGTATGATATTCTTGCCTGGTATGCAAGCAGACCAGCCGTGCAGCTGTTCTACGGATCAGCGGGTCTGTTAGGAATACACACACACACACGCACAGTCTGGCACTTTTACAGGTGTGATCGCAGTCTACCTGATATTTGTACATAGAATAAGCCCCACTGGCTGCCCGCACTGAAGCAAACGAAACAGAGGGGAACCAAACTGAAGTTCATGAATGGAAGGGACTGCGATGAAGATCCGAAATGCAAGAGGAAAGGAGCCAAACGATCGGAAAGTTTTTGCGCAGTTGACTGAAGTTGGGGAAAGCTTAAACTGCTAAATAGAAGAATTAAAAACTGCAACAGTGCTTCATAATTCCCTCTGAAGTTTTACTGGCTTGTACAGTTAATTGAGGGATGCTGTGTACATTCCTTTTATTTGAATCCTCTTGTTCGTCTGGTTCATTTGCTGACACATTCTTTTTTCTTTCTTTCTTTCTTCCTTCCTTTTTTAATTTGAATTTCTTTCTTTTTTTTACAGCCTATAGGCACAATGTTGTTTTCCAGCATGATAAAACATATTTGCATTCCACTGTTATATTTTAAAGTGAACTTTACTAGCATATCTGTCATTGGACCCCTTTGATGATAGAAATCTATTAGTTACCTACATGAATTGTGGCCAAAAAAACTAAAGTCTATAATAAAGTAAGTCAGCTTCAATCTAAAGAGTTTTCCCAGTAAATGAGACATGACTGGTTGAAGATTCATATATTTTTACATCACTTTTGGCCACCTTTCAGATAAAGCAACATTCATGCCTCACTTTGTTGTTGTTGTGGTTAAATACAATGAAGCATATTTACTTATGAGGAGATTGGCTAGACGACAGATTTGAGACATACTGTAGAGCCTATGTTGTACTGTAATCACTGCCATCGTCCGGACCTGTGGTGCCTGTAATAAGCTAGTTCAAACCCCTCTTTCTCTGTTGGAAGAGTAGAACAATTCCGTGGTATTGTTTTTTTTTTCTTTACCATTTTGTACAGTTCTTCCAGCTCAAGGAAACGGCACAAATTGAAGTATTGACGTTTAAAAACCACTAAATGCATGATTCTTCAGGGGTGTTTCAGAGTCCTCATTTCAGAGGACTGGAAATAAAGAAAAAAGCATTGTTATTATTGACACAATTCTAAGAAAAAGAAAGATTGTATACATTTTTCTAAAACTATTTGTACATAGTAAATACTGTGCCAGTGTGGAAAATCTGTTAACTGAAGGCATATGTAAAAATAAAATAAAAAAACAAACACAATAATGTCAGAATATTTATATAAGATCAGATTTTAAGAGGGGTGGGACAGTGTGTCTGATTTTTTTCGCTCCTGTGACAAACTAAAGAGAGATGAGGTATGAAGATTTAGATGGGACACACCACTAAATATGTTTTTTCGTTGGTTTTTTTGTCTGTTTTCATGTCAACATTCAAGCACTGTAGAAAATGGAAGTGTTGATGTACAGTCTGTGAATATTATGTAAATGCCACAAGACTATTATCGCTGATTTTATCAATTAAAAAAGAAACATTTCTTTAACCACACTGCCAGATTTTTTTTTCCCACCTGAATTATGATAGCTGTTACTTTTTAAAAATCTGTAGCTAACAAAATGCTGTTACAGGAATTGCATATGACAAAATCACAATGATGTGCATTTATTAATGCCATTTATTTTATGTAAAGCTTAAAAGATATGATTTACATTTAATTGTTTCATCTAGTATTTTTCTAATTTGTCCAGTTTCATTCACAAAATAGCTGGACAGTGTTTCGTTATTGCAACAAGAGGATTCCTGGTTCGAAGCCCCAACGGGGTTTGCGTAACCCCAAACCACAAATATCCAGTTTTCAGATATTCTTTACACATTTGAGTCATCTGATAACCTAGTAAAGTTTGTTTGTCAGTTTCAGACATTTTGGATAAACGTGAAAGCTTTTATAAAGGCAATTTCTCATTTAAAACTTTTTCTTTCAAATCATAAATGGGAACATACAAACTGTTCAGAGTGCAATTTCTCAAACTGGTCAAAGTTGTTTTAGTTTTGATCACTGAATAGTGAGGCAATGCCTTACATATAAAAACTTTACTGTAGTGGTTATTTTCCTCATGATTATCTAGGCTTCATTGTTCTTCCACTCAACTGAATGGACAGTAGGCTGAAAAAAACTATATCAACTATTGTTTTGCCAAATTCATTTAAAAAAGATGGTTCGACAGCAAATTGATTACATGTTTTTCTAAGCTTTTAGATTTTGAGCCTTTGATTGGCCTAATCCATAAATCTGAATTACCGTAAGTTGAATTGTTTGTCAAATTACTAGAGAACTAGTAGTTCCTACAGAACAGTGACTTTGATGTGGGAGTTTGAGATGGGACTGAAGTGTGCCAAATGAAGGGACATCGTGCTCAACAAAGAGAGGTGTGAAGTTTGAATGGGTGAAATATAAAAGTCCAAAGTCATCTGTCTGGAGTTCTGCTTTTGAATTAAAACTATTACCAGAAATTTTATTAATTGTACCAAGCCCTACTTGGTGTTATCAAGACCCAGATGTAAAGACTGATGCCATGTTTTCAACTATGGTGAGTATAATAAGGGTAATAATCCAACAGAAAAGACTTTAGGCCTTTGGCTAGCTATGTGTCATAGCCTTGTGCACTGAACTCTACCTCTGTATAGAGTATAACTAGTGTCTCTACTACACAGTTTTTGTATTTCTCAACATCTTGGACAATGACCATTTATTGTACTATTGCCAGTCTACTGCCACTGCTGTTAATTTACTTTGTTTTTACACTGATGGACATTTTCCGCAAATGAGACTGTATACGAATTGTTTATTTCCTCTTCTGTATCATTTGTTCTTTTTCTCACTTCTTTTTTATATGTTCCAACACTGAGTTCATGCTTTCATTTCTCTTCTACAGACATGTGACTTTTAGAATGTTGAACCTTGCAATAAATCCAGTGTGTCTTTGTGTCGTCTGTTTGTTTTTTTATTTGCCAAGCAAACACACAATAAATTGCATATGTTCTTTGTGTTAAAATGATGTGACTCAGGGTTTCTTCTCCCAGAAAGGACCATTTAGAGCAAATGGTAATATAGAGATTACACTGGCAGATTGTCACTGTGGGACACATTTTAATCCTTTCCTCTTGCCCCCATTTTCACTCCAATTGCTTCCCTTGGTAATTATTCTCCAAATCAGTTCAGTTCAAATGAGGAAGTGTCGTAAGCTCTTATAAGAGCATTTGTAAAGCATACAAAGTAAACTAAAATGACAAAGTTTCCTGAGCCCCATTCTACAGACATTCCCATGAAATTCCCAGTGAAATTCCATCTTTCTTTTGTTAAGGTGTTAAGTTCACAGCTATGTTTTGTTTGAGAGTAAATTGTGTTTTGCTCCAAGCAATCTGTACCGTATTCAGCCAGAAGATTTACCAGGTTATAACACCATGGTTGAACACTACAGATGCATCAAGTGCGTTTTTTTTGTTTTTGTTTTTTTACTGTGTACATTTTTACTGTGTGGAGTGCCTTGGAAATGTTTTAACCTCTTAAAACATTTATTCAATTCATATCAAACATGATATATTATCACTGCATTTATACAGCTACTTCTTTGTAGGGGAAACATTGTTTGAATAATGGGAACATAAAAGCAAAACTAGAGATTTGAGAAATGATTTATGTATAAGTAATCAACATACTCAGAACAAAATCCTATTTTCAGTACTAGTAGTTTCCTCAAGATGAGTGGGTTCTACTGGAGCACAGGAATCCATTAACTACAACAGGTTTTCTTCATATTAAATAGCATATTGAAGGCTTGACTCTGAATAAACAAGTCAAATATTTCCCTCAAATTACTAGAACATTTCCTTCGAAGTTTACTCAAAATCATTGTAGTTTGGAACTAGCCCAGTTTTAGTTCCTTTGTCCCTCTGTTGAACATGGGACCAGGTTTTAGTCTTATCTGACCAAGTCATCATCAGAAATTTGTAAAGGCCTCTTAATTCATAAAATAGATGTTAAATATGGGAAAAAACAAACAATGACAAAACACTTTGATGTGTATTTGCACAAAAAGTAAAATTTATAACAAAAGGTGATAAATCAATTGCATTTACATTGGGGCAAAAAGTATTTAGTCAGCCAGTGTTTATGAATGTTCTCCTACATCGAAAGATGAAGTATATAATTCTCATTCTATGTATACTTCAACTATGAATAGAAAGATGAGGGAAAAAAAAAAAGAATTCAGATATTCACTTTGTGGATTTTACAAGAATTTTTGCAAAATATGGTGGAAAATACAGAGCAACATGGACTTTCAACTTCCTCCACACATTTTCTATGGGGTTGAGATCTGGAGACTGGTAAGGCCACTCCAGGACCATAAAATACCAATCCTCCTTAACCCTATAATGCCTTATGTGTAATATTGGATACATACTGTCTCTGAAGTCTTTTGGATCTGAGACTTTTTGTATAATTCAGTGGTAAAAGCTTTGCTCAAAACCCTGTTGTACACATTCAGATATACCTTATAACAGCGAGTAGAAGACTACAAGAAAATATGTTTTTGACATATTGCATGCTAATTTGATCAAATCATTTCTTTTTTTTATTTTCTTCATATTTTGTTGAGGGGCCAAATAAAGATTTCAATATAAAAAATCCAATATTCTTCCTCTTTTTCTTGTATCAGGCTTTAAAGGGTTAAAAAGAGACACTTTTGTTGCCTGTGTGGTGCGTTTGGGATCATTGTCTTCTTGGAACACCTAGCCATGTTCCATCTGATTGGAGGTTTTATCTTAAAATGTCAGGATACATGAACAGTTCATTCCTTGTAAGTTGTACTGTACCCTTTTAGAAAACAGCACCAAAGCATAATTTTTCTACCCCCGTGCTTAACAGTATGATTTTCTCCCAACCTTTTATTACAGGGGTGTCCAAAGTCCAAAGTTTTCTTACACCTGCTCCCATGGTTGATTTATTCACACCAACCTGCTTTCCTATTGGAGATTCCCTGTTCCCAGGCTGGTGCAGGTCTACATTTTTCTTCCTGGTGTTCTTCAACAGCTCTTTGGTCTTTGCCAGGTTGAGTTTGTAGTCTAACTGTTTGAGGCTGAGATAGGGTGTATTTTTCAAACAGGTACCATTATTACAGAAGAGACTGTTCAAGAAGAAATAACAAGTCTGTGAGAGCCAGAAATCTTACTGGCTTGATGGCGATCAAATACTTATTTTCCACCATAATTTACCAAATAAACTCTTTAAAAATCCTACAGTGTGATTTCCTGTATTTAGGTTTTCTCGTTTTGCCTCTCATAGATGCGAATTACAGAGATTTCATCTTTCTAAGTAGGACAATTTTCACAATCAGATGCTGACTAAATACTTTTTTAACTCACTGTATGTATTGCTTTACATAGCAGAATTTCTTTCAGGATCAATGAAGTCTCTATCTTTCCTAGTCTAACTTCCCCTAGTCTAACTCCAAGCCAGTTTTACTCATCCACACACACTTTTAGTGCATACAGGGCTGTAGGCTTTCCCAGGTTACCTCTATTTCACATATTCACTCACTGGTGGATGCATCCTGTCTTACCCAAGGACAATGTGACCCAAATAAGCAGAGCCACCGATTGTCTGAGTTGCGGGGGGCTACTTTTCTCAATGAGAAAACTGTATTGCTCTTTCCAAGATTGGTTCTCTTCAATAGGGCATACTGCAGCGGAACCATCAGTAATCTAAATGTTCTGTCAGTACAAAATCTGCAAAATGCTCCACAGTATATGTGCCTATAGAACAAGATGGTGTGTTCAAATGTAAGCGAGTGGCACAGTTTAGTATATCTCCAATACTGTGCTTGTGAGAGAACATTTTTCTTTAAATCTTTATTTTAGATTCCAGCCTAAGGCCTGGTTGTATCATAGTGCTGAGACAGTGCTTGAGGTCTGAACTGAATGAAAATGTTCAACACAGTTCTCATTCTCACCCATTTCATGAGTCCTAGTAACAGACATTGTCAACTGATCTTTTTATATTCATGAATAATAAAGCCCCTTTGTCGTAAATCAAAATGAACATTGTAAGTTTTAACAACTATCTAAAGTGCTTCTCTTCAGATTAACAACGACCAACGGTTTTATTCTTCATCCACACTGCAAATCCTCTTCCCATATAAACTGGCATCAGCTGTGGGAAAATACATTTTACAGCCTACTTAAATTTCATGAGGGAAAAGCCACAGTCTGCATGCCTATGTGTTATCTTACTTTATTAATAAAAAATGAAGCAAAACGATGGAGAACTCATTGTGAACATGACGGTAATTATGCTCCAGGCCTTTAATGCCACAATTTTGAATGTCTAAGTCATTAGTCTTGTTCCTCTACACAGTAAGGACAACCACAAGCACCAAAATATCTCTGCAATGCAAGGACGGCGGCACGCTTTTGGAAGTGTTAAGAATAGATCTACAATAGGCCACGCTCCTGTCTTCTGTTGTCTGAGGACAGACAGTCGTCTGCAGGGGACGGAGCAAGAGGTAAGACGGAGGCTTTGTGTGGTTTACGTCAGACACTTGGCTGAGTCTTGTAACTCTGTTACACAAAATTACTGGGAACATGATCTATCTGGATGATTGTCTGTCTGCTGTCCCCCCTGGAAACCAAAGTGACCCTTCAGGTGGAAAGAAGTGAGGCTGTAGCTGAAGGGTTTTCAGTGTGTGCCCAGCAACGTGAGGACTTTGGGGGATTTTAGAGGGCCTCCAGCACAGCCAACATGGTGGTATCAAGTGCTTCAGAGCTCCTCTTTATCTCTGTCAATCAAAGCATCACTTTAATGGGTGAGTTCATTCAATACCTGATTATAAATTTGAACAAAATAACCCACAGCTATGGACAGAAACAGAGTGTCTCTTTTGTTTATTTATGTAAAACCTTATGAATTGCTAATCTTTTTAATAGTTAATA